GGATATCATTTTTAGTAGGAGTAATTCTGCAGAATATGAAGTAATTTAAGGTAAACTTAATGTAAAATATGAGAAAAATAGTGTACTGGGGAGATACAGGTGGGTCAGATATTCTTGATTAGATGGTCAGGTTTGATCTTTAAGTTTTCCCACTTGTAAGGAAATTTCATTGCTGGAGTGATCTTGAAAGTTCTAGAATCCGAGGATTACTTCCATATTTGTGGTTTGTTACAAATGTCACACACTGTCTTGCAGAAAACTCACACTCGATGAAAGTATTGCTAATATCTGGCCAGAATTTGGAACAAATGGGAAGAATCTCATCAAGGTGTGAAAGTTTATGTTGTAAGACCTGCTAAACTTGTCTGATTACCACTGAAGCTCTATATATGTTGCTTATTTGTTTTTTTCTCATTTAGGTCCACCATGTGCTTAATCATACAGCTGGATTGCAAAACGCTTTGGACAACCTCAGAAAAGAAAATCCTTTGCTACTGACTGACTGGGATGAATGTCTGAAACAGATTACAATGTCAGCACCTGAGACAGAACCTGGCCAGGTGCAGTTGTATCGCTTTCTGTCTTTTGGCTGGCTTTGTGGTGGAATAATTGAGGTAAAGTTCCATGCTCAAGTGTTTGAATATGAAAGAATAACGAAGCTGACATCTGCATCTGTTTTCAGAGGGATTTTTGATTTGCTCTCCATTTTAATGTTCTGCTTAAATGAAACAGCATGCTTCTGGTAAGAAATTTCAGGAGATCCTGGAGGAAGCATTTGTTCGGCCTCTCAACATTGAAGGCGAGCTATATGTTGGAATTCCACCGGGTATCTGTTAAGATCTGTTTATTCAATGTTCTTGCTTTGCTAGCATAAATTCTAAAAAGATTTGCACGCACAATTGTCCCTTTTCAAGTTGACATATTCTCTACTTGTTACTACTTCCATGGATAGAGTTATAATGCTCCTAGAAATTGTAAATTCAAAGTTCCTTTCATGATTGGAAGTAATGCTTGTTATGCGTCTCCTTCAGGTGTGGAATCTCGACTTGCATGGCTGACAATAGATATAGAAGATTTTAGCAAGCTATCAAAAATTGGTAGTCTCTCTGCACTTCCCTCCACCTTCCAGCCAGAGAACATTTCTCAACTAGTAACTACACTGCTTGCTTTGTCTAACACGCTGAACATTCGTCGCGCTATTATACCAGCCGCTAACGGACATTGCTCAGCCCGTGCCCTTGCACGCTATTATGCATCTCTTGTTGACAGAGGCCTGGTCCCACCATCTCATTCCTCATTGTCCACACCACCCCTTGGTAGCCACCCCCACATCCCAAAATTTTCTTCAGAGATTACCTCCAAGATGCAGAATGGTAAAACGAGCAAGGCAGTGGGTTCTGCTTCAAAGAAAAAAGAAAATGGTTATGAGCAGAAGACAAAGCAAAGTAAAGATTCCAAGGACAATGGTAGTGGTGGAGAAAGTAATCGTGATGGTTATACCAGGATAGCTGTTGATAGCACTAGTGGCAGTAGCAGCATCAGCATCAGCAATACTAGTTCACCTGATAATGGCTCTGTATCCAGCAATGATTCTCGCAAAAATAATGTCATCTCAGTCTTTAATGACCCCAGAATTCATGACGAGTTCATGGGTACGGGTGAATACAGTGATCTAGTCCTGCCAAATGGGAAATTTGGATTAGGGTTTGAGAGATTTAGTGCAAGTGATGGATCCTTTAATGGATTTGGGCACTCAGGTCTGGGTGGATCCACAGGTTTTTGTGATATTGAAAACAGGCTTGCCATTGCAGTTACCTTGAACAAAATTTCATTTGGGACCGCAACGAGAAAAATCATTCAGTTTGTTTGTTCAGAGCTCAATGTTCCATTGCCGGATGAGTTCTCAATTCTTAGTGGAACAGAAGCTGGTGAAGGGTTAAGTATATCAAGGGCTCTAATTAACTGAAGATCAGAACGGGTCTTGTCATTGTTTAAATGTATTATTTCCAGAACTAGAGGTATTATTTATACTGATCACGACTGTACCAAAAGGATATTTGTAAATATTTACAGCCATTGTTTATAAGGTTATACGTGCAGGTGCTCCTCTGCACACATATACAGCCATAAATAACTTGACTTGGGAGATTCACTGGTGGGATTTAATTCGTTCAATGAATGAGACTTTTTGGAGAGTTTTTTGGTACTCATTTTGAAAGAGGAAAAAAACATAAAAATAAAACACACTTGGAAGGTAATGTATAATCTTTATAACTCTAGATTAACCTCCTTCACCACTCTGTGGATGGCTCTCTACTGTACAGTAGCTTCTCAGCAAGCACATGACTATGTCCATGATTAAACTTAAGGTCTAGGAGAGTTCTATGTTTCTGATTGCTCAAGTTGCAGAGTTGTGGCGGCGACACCAATAGCATGTAATTGCAATGACAAGTGCATGATCTTATAAAGCTGAAGCCAACCGTTATTAACTTGGAAGATGGAATGCTCTCGATACTGACAGCGTTACGCAAAACTGAAGGTATTTTGCTGCCTGCTTGATTTCCGCATTGGGTGAGTTACTCTTCCAAAGTTTCCATGTCTTTTTGCAGCTCAGGTGAGCTGGAGGAAAAATGCAATGGAGGTGGCAATCATAGCTTTAAGAAAGAAAGCAAGATTGTGCAAATTAAACCACAACTGTAAATTTTGTAAAACATGGAGCATGAATGGATGATTCTCAAAACCATTTTTTCGGAAGATTATTTTGTAACTTTCTTGCAAAATTTATTTTTATGCAACCTCATATTCAAGTTTCATATCGAAGAGTAAATTACAAGAAATTTTCTTATGAATGCAGTGATTTTGGGTATAAGGGAGACTGGGAATATCTGGATTGTTGTAGTTTAATCATGAGCATGTATCTTTGACATTGTATCCGATTGGATTCAGTAATGAACGGTCCAACCCTTTTCTGTACTTAATTGTTTGGTTAGACTACATGTGATTCTTGGCATTATGATCATAACATTATGTTTGTTACTGGTTCCATGCTCACATTCTGCACTTGAAATGCTTGCTTCGATGGTGGAAGACCTATAGCTTGGAGGTCTTGTTTTATGGAACTTTTGAGGGCTAATACTTCATCATTACCACTAATTTGTCTCCTGCATTTCTGAACCCATCTTGTGATTCACAGGCTTGGCTTTGTAATTAATGGCTTTTGCCCTTGTTTTATCAACGGAACTACTCTCTCGTACAATAAAAAAGAAGGAAAAGAACATAATTAACATTTTCCTGTGGATCAAAGCATGATGGCAGCATGGCCAACCATATAATAAATAAATAAATAAATATACAGTAGTGGCAGAGAGAAGAGAATAAACAAAGCAAGAAACAGTGTATGCATGCACGTGATTTGAGCAGAAAATGCAAGAAGAAAACATTATTGAACTCTTAAAATATGTAATCAGAGAGTAATAATCTTAACAGTACAGCAACAAAACGCGGTTTCTTCCATCTTTTGTGCCCTCAGAGAGAGTAGGAAAATCATTTCTCACGCAACTGGTGAGATTTGCAGGGCATTTCAAAGTTTTCTCATATATTCAAGGGTGGATTTCCATGACCCTCCAGGCTTCAAGGAAGGTGCTTGCACTAGAAAGAATATCATTAGCTTGTACTCGTTGGCATCGTGAGGTAGAAGATTCGTTAGTAATTGATGGCTTAAAAATCTTAAATCTTAATTTTGATGAGTTGTTAGTTGGTTTTCATGTCACCTTCAAATCTTATTACTGGAATTTTGAAGTTAGAGTGCTCAAATCATGTTGGCCCAGTTATGACTTCAAAACTGAGAAGAAAACTGAACCAATAATTTTATGTTCTTGCTACATTTAAGAATTACATCTATTTGATTTTTCTTGATTATATTTAGGCATAACCAACAACAACAAACATAAATAATACATAATTCTATTAAATAGAATAATATACAAAAAATCCAATTATAAGTAATACATAATTGTCGAATAGGATCACCATATAAAAACTCCATCTAAAATTTTATTAAGGAATATTTTTGTCTATATCTATAAAGAGTTTAAAACTTTTTAAATAAATCTAAATCTGACCTTAACCAATTAAGAAATCTGAAAATAAAAAAAAAAGTAATAAAAATCATAAAAAAACTAGAAAATCCAAAAGTAAAAAGAAAAACAATAAAATTAGTTCAAATTATACATTACGGACCACAACTAACCCCATTTAATAAGAACTTTGAAATTTTTTAGCAAAATTTGTATTTGATTGAACAGTTGAATGGAAAGTCACAAGTTTTTTTGTCAGGTCAATCACCCTTGGTGGTGGCCCACACCTCTTCTTAGGTACCTAGTTATGGTAAATCTAATATATATATATTGATTGATCAGAACCACCTGCTTCATTTCCACCTGCATCATTTCTCTACTTCAACTTAGGCATGCTACTGCTAGTTGATGCATTTACAATTTGAGGCACGGGAAAAAATCCTAACACATAGTTGAATCTTGGAATGGTATGCACCTCATTTTGAGAAAACGAATGGCTTGATTGGATCTGTCATTTGTTTTGCTAATCAAATGTTTAAGAGTTCAGAAAATTCTTGATCTACCTTCTGTTTTTTTAGTGTCAAATTAATTGCCCTTTACCTGCGACTGCACAGAAGACCAACGGGGGTAAGAGGTTGATACACTGCACCGGATTTAATAAATACAGCATGCACGGTGAATCACCGACCAACAATAATGTAAGAGAACATGCCAGCTTTCTCATGTAAGATATTAATCAGATCGAATAGAAACTATTGAACATAAAATGGGAGGGAATATATGATGGCATTGGAGTGAATTTGATCAACACCAAGGGTTTTCTCTAAGAATTCTCACTATATAAGAAATGGAGAGTAGAGCAGTGAAGGAAATCAAGTTGTTTATGATTTTGCTGCAAAAGCAGTAGAGTTATCATGCAGTGAAGGAAATCAAGTTGTTTATGATTATTTATTTTGCTGCAAAAGCAGTAGAGTTATCAGTCCCTTGACCGCTGTATTTTCTCGGGAATCCTGTGAATTTATCGTCTGTTAGTAATCTTGTATTCCAATATGATTGGCATAACTGGAGTATGCAGCAGATTAGTGCAAGCACTAGGAGTTTCAGGACCAAGCTCATCAACTTGTCTTGAAACAACTCCAACTTGCGAGCAAGAAAAAGCGCGTCAAGCCGATGAGTTGATGATCCGGGCATTGACTGCTGTGTTTGGAATGGAAAACAATGGGAAAATAAAGAAGGAGAAAGCGCGACGGGTGGTGGAAAAGCTTGGTTTGATATATGTTGAAGGAGGAGGAGAAGAAGACCAGGCTATTTTTGACCTACCAGGTGGTGTTGACGATGAAGAAGTGCTTGTAGAGGAGGTGCTGAATGGATTGGAAGATGGCTCAGATCGCCATCAATTGTTGCAAGAAGCCTTCAAGATTTTCGATGAGAATGGTAATGGATATATCGAAGCAGTGGAGTTGAAGAGAGTGCTGCAATGCTTGGGACTGGACAAAGGGTGGGACATGGAGCAGATCCAGAAGATGTTGAAGGCTGCGGACTTGAATTTCGACGGAATGGTTGATTTTAACGAGTTTGAATTGATGATGGGATAAGATCATAAACATAAAAATTTTGTATTTCAATGTCAATTGTATATTCTTTGATTTCATGATCATTTTTCCAATAAAAATGTTGGATTCCTGTTTTATCAGCAATGATTTCTTCGTACTTTCCACTCAGCTAAAAGCTCTTCAATTCCAGATGCAGCAATCAGATTAACAAAACTGAAAGCAATGAGTGTCAAGACTAATTGGTCAGTGTAGTTCGTATAATAAAATTGGCTATGGAAAAGTATCGAAACTCCTCCTTCACCAGCATAAACTCAATCTAAATCTCCACAAAACATAATGAGTGATGACACAGTAGTCATTCTCAAGCTCGCTCTCCAAGTACTCCATCAAAGAGCTCAAAAACCTCTCTTCCTCATCGATTACTTGCCTCAATGATGTTAACTCACAGCTCTTAGGCTGCTGCTATAAACGATTCTTTGTTGGTACATGAAAAAAAATCTCATCCCAGTTTTCACAAGCAGCAAAGTAAGCTGGTACAAAAGATTTGTTGTCCTCAACACAACGTAGGAATACAGGAAAAACAGAATCTGCAGATATGAACATTTCGTATAGTCTATTTGCGTCTTTGAAAAACAAACAGAGAACCTCTTGAGCCCTTTCCCAACCTGATCTTCTCATCAATATAAGTGATCTTCAACTTAACCTCGCTTTCTCCACCATACTGGAACTCCAGTGATCCAACCTTCAGTTGAGGTGCCTCAAATATAACTTGAATCCAACAATCATCCAAGGCTTTCAGCCTACCTGCAATATGCACAAACGTTGAATCTAATGTTTTGACAGGATCACGTAGACGATAAGAAACATTGCATCCCAATGTCGAATCAAGGTGAGACTTAGGCCATAAATTGATAACACCAATGTCGAATCAAGGTGAGACTTAGGCCATAAATTAATAACATTGTTAGAGAATAATATAAATTATATCTTAAAAACTTATTTAATAGCTAAGTTTTTAAGTTGGGATATTTATTTGATAGAGTGCTAAAAAATCATACATTCATATCTCACAACTCTATAAATCATATCTTAGACCTCACTAAGAGTTTCATAGCAGGACAATGCCATGCCATATCTTTCAACTCAGTTTTCGTTCGTGGAGTAAAATGAACATGGACCTACCTTTCAAGGATACCTCTCCATCAAGGAACCCCAAAGCAGAAAATGAAACCTTGTTTTTGACAGTATCAGGAGCTTCAACAGTCTGGATCATTTCCTTTGTTCTAAAAACAAGACGGCCAAACGCACTCCTGTAGCCACCTCCAGGGGAAGTTGGGTTCGAACAGTATACCACATCCCACTCTGAACAAAACCATTTGATTAGTAGTTAAACTAAACCAAACCCTTAACATAATCATAGATGAACATTTTACATTACCAAATTTCCTAGTACAATAATTGAATTTACCTCCAAATATAAGAGGACATCTCACTGGTTCAGCAACACAATATTTCTGCAACTCTTGCGCAACTCGAGTTACTTCTTCTTGTTGTTCTTTAGATAACAAAACCCCCCTGTCCGTTTCTGTAACCTAGTTTAAAGGATTACTCAGTTTCAGAGACAACAAACCAGAAAATCCCAAACCGTTAATTTCTACATGCATATATACACTCTTATAATCAATTACAAGTGATAAACACATTAAAAAAAAGCATAAATGGTATCATACCTTAGAAAGAATAGAAGCAACCAAATCATCAGGTCGTCCAGTGAGGACTTGAGGGTCAGAGACCGAAACAGAACACAAAATTGGTGGGATTCTGCTCCTTCTACACTGAAATGAAAATGAAACGTCACTGGGGTGTTTTAAGTGAGAGATTAGGAGCTTTGTTTTGCGTAATTCAGGGCCTCTGAAGGAAGATAACAGAGCCAAAGAAGAAGAAGCCATGGGGGAGGGAGAGGCTGAGCCTTGATGGTGTTACGTGCTCGTTAGATTTTTCTATTTTTAGTGGATGGCTAAGAATTTCGGTGGATTTTGCCATGTTAGCATGGAGATGGAGTTTAGGTTCCACGTGGTGCTTCCCTATTGGTTTATAATCCGCCACGTAAGTAGATTTTGTTTCCCCTGCGCTATCCACTTTTGTAATAACTAGGAAGGTAACTTGATCAACCCATGACTCAAGCATTAAGATAAATATATTATAGACAAGGTGGTAGATTTGATTATAAAATCGGATTTTGCATTTGATGCGATGAATCTATTTAATTTTTCATTGTATTTTTCCTCTTTCGCTAACATTGCATAAAAATATTTTCGATCCGAAATCTTCATTTTCTGAGCTACCAAACACACCCTAACCAACCAACGCCCACCTCACGCAACAAGACAAAATCCCTTGCATGCTGGACGGCAAGGAGACCCATGGAGTACGGGAATACATATCACGCCTCAACACTTTCTTCCAAGTGGCAGAATCTTATCCTTTCAATCTCTCATCACATCTAAACACTATACCAAACCCAATCACACGCCGTTCAAAATCCATCACGCTAACCACCGCACGCTTTTTTCATACACAGTGAGAGGAAGGAGGCGAATTTGTACGGACTCTTCCTTTTCTTCTCCTCCTCCTTTCTTCCAGTGATGGCGCCAAGAAAGAAGGCTGAAGTGACCAAACCGAAGCCGTCGCCGACGCCCGCGACTCGGAGGTCGGCTCGGATGACTAGGAGCGCAGCTAAGCGACTTAATGCGAGGTTGACTGAGTTACCTACCGACGCGAGGAAGAAGAGAAAGCAAGGGAAAGCAGAAGAGAGTAAGAAGAAGGTGAAAATTGAGACTGAGACTGTAACCGCGACTTCTACGGAGGCGCAGGCGGAGGTCAACTCGCTGGAGGAGGAAGAAGAAGACGACGAGGACGAGGAGGATGCTAAGGAAGAGAGTACTTGTATTGGTGATGGAGTCAATAAGACTACTGTGATCGAACATTGGTGAGTGTTTTATTTTTTTATTAGTTAATCTCTTATGTCTGGTTTGCGAGAAAGTAGAGGAGAAAACTAAAATGTCATGATAGTGGAGCTAGGGTTTGGTTAGTTGATTTCTGTTTGGTTTCTGAGAAAGTGAAAGAAAGTAGAGGAAATTGAATTGTAATTTCGAGCCTCGGGCTGGTTCTTTCATTCTCTTTGTTTTTTGTTGTGTGTTTTTTTATTGAAATTAGCAGGAGTAAAGTGGCCTTGTCATTGTTAGAGGATTAGAGGTTTTTGTTGCTATTGTTAGTCGAAGTTGTGATTAGGTATTTGGCTTCAATGAATTTTTACTCTCCCTCTCTAGCTTTGATTGTGTTTGGTTTCCAAGAACTTGGGGGTGGGTTTATTTCGAGTAAGCAAAATTAGGTTGGTAACTTGGGTGTTGATGTCTTAGTTCAATCAGTTTTGGTCTTTTTTTGAGGTTTTGATAAATAAGAAATAGGAATATTGTTTGTATTTAGTAAAAATTCTATTTGGCTGCCCAAAAAGGAAAGGATTGAACAGTAAGATCCCATCCAAGGAGATTCATTGGAATTGCTGGTTTTTTTTTTTTCTTTAAATGCGTGTGGTTGTTTACTAGGAAAATGGAAAATGGAGAACTTAGTTCAATCAGCGAAGTTACTTATGCTAAAAAAATGAGACTTATACTGTGTCATGCATTTCCTAATCCGTATGGTATGTTGATTCTTGCAGCAAACAGTGTGATGCATTCAAGACTATAGCTATGCAGGTGAAAGATGGTTTGTTGAGTGCTTTTCCTGGTACCCTGTGTTGCTTAATCCTGAGAAGGTACTTCTGCTGAATTTTGTAACTTCTTTACAGAGCTAATAGTTGAATAGACTCTCAAGATTCTACTTGGTTTGCCAAAGCCAATAAATTCTTTGATGCTTTCAATAATCTGACGCTTTGTGTACACCTCAACCTCACACACTTAGGGAAAAGGCGGAATGCACCTAGTCTTAAATTTTTGTGGTAGGAGCTTTTCAATAACACAAAATGTTTTGCACTCGGCTCAATTACTTATTTTTTGCTGCTGTAATTGATGTGTATTCTTCGGGATAAAGAAGCAGATTCTTATCTAGTTTTAGAAATTTGTCGTATCATGACATTTTCAACAATTTAATGCTTTGTGTACTTGGATGAATATCTGGTAGTGCTCTTGTAGTCAGTACTCCCTTATGTGGGTGAAAAAGCAGATTCATGGTTAGTTGGCGTGGCTTATTTTATCAAGGGCTTTTACTTATTGCATGGTGTAAAGGATCTAATTTTGAGCCATTTCCTATTTTGGCTATTTACCATGTATTATTTGAAATTGCAGTCAAAATCTTGGATGTTTATGCTGTTTATTGCATATGTCGAAGACAATTCGACTTCTTGTGAATCCAAACTTTATACAATTCTGTACATACAAATATACGCATACATGTGTGGACGCAAAAAAGAATCATGGAGATTGACATTGATGTGGTTTATGATATTAACACCAAAAACCTTTGATGGAAGCACATGCAAAGATGCTTATCATTATTTTACTAGTCATGGTCAAAGTTGTGTTCATTTCCTGGTTGTAACTAAGTGATTGTTGCTGATGTCAGCTGATAAGGTCTTTGATAACATAGAATACAGACAACAAGTCTACTTTGCAGAAGATTATCTGAATATGCTACTGACATATTGTTTTGTGTTTTAACTTTCCTTTTTCATGCATATTTTCTATTTAGTTGATGTTTTTCTCTGATTGTCAACAGTCTAGAAGGGGATGCTTTGAAATACAAGAGGAGGGCGGGGAGACATTCATTAGTCTACTGGTAAAACACAACACCTTAAATATCTATTAATAGCCAATTTAGTTCATCCATTTGTGCTGTATAGCTGATGCATTTCATTAGTTTGATTTTGTTTCAACCTCCTAAGACCTTTCAGAAAGGGCTAAATTTATCATGCTTGTAGAGTTTACATATTTTACAAAGATCAAGTGCTAAATGGTTTCTTGGAAAAACTTGGTAGTTCAATTTTAAAATACCTGGAGATAACTTTGTCATAACCCATTTTTTAGTTATTCCTGAAAATTTATCTTTTTTTCTGAAAAAAATAAAAAATAATAATAGAAGGAGGATTGAAAATGTGGTAAAAGCTAGTCGAAGAAGATCCTAGGTACATACAAAAAATTTGGTTGAAATTTTGGATAAATTTGGAGCATAATTATACCCCAATGTACTCAAAACTGGAGAGACAATATGCATTTAAGGTCAAATTAAATAGTTATTGAACAAATTTACATAAAATTAAGCATAAGGAAATAATTAGATTTGTAATAGGTTAATTTGATTTGATCATAGGCCAAATGAAAAGTTTAATTATGTTCAAGAATTAATCTGGGTCAAATTAAAGGATTTAATTAAGTGTAATGACTTAATTATATTGTAAATGAGTTAAATTAATTTTATTAGGGGTTTAATTGGTGAAAAATTATGTTTGAAGTCCACTTTTGGCTTAATTAAAAAGATTGGAATTTTAAGAGATCAAATTTAATTTTTACCACATCAATTGATTCAAATCAGGAGTAAAATCGCTAGAAACAAAGTTTTGGAGTCAATTAGGGGTTTAATTGAAAAAATTCACAGCTAAAGACTTTTTTGAAAAAGTCGCCAAACTCTAAGGACTCAATTGATTGAAATCAGGGGTGAAATTGAAAAGAATTAAAAGTTTAATGGTCAATTAAGAGTCAACTTGCATAAATGCAAGACTAAGAACCATAATAAAAAAGACAGAAATTCGAGGTTGATACTAAAGTTCAACGATGACAAAATTGCATAAAATCAAAAGTTTAAGGTTAATTAGGGGTGCATTTAAAAGAAATCAAAAGCCAAAGGACTAAATTGAACTTTGATTAAATCCTTAAATTAAAACCTTAAAAGCCAAAGTGACACCATTTTATTTAAATGAAATAATGTGTTTTGATCAAAATAACGTTATTTTTTACCCAAATAATAAGAATAAAAACAGGAACCAGACAACATGTCATCTGGTTCCTGTTCATCTTCTTATTTCTTTTCACCTGAAAAAGTTGTCGGGGTGACTATTTTTAGGGAGATTTAATGTTTTATCTTTTTATCAAACTAAACAAACTATACAACATTGTGATGACTCGACATTTAACTACACCATGATATGGTTTTTTCTAGCCAATTGACACCACAACAGTTATGGGGCCGACCCAAAAAGGCCAACTGAAAGAGCTTTTAACTACCAAAATTTGTCAGTTCATGATGACCACTTTTAACCAACCGTCGAGATCCTCCCAAGCTGAATAAAGGGCCAAGATTTGTCCATAATAAAAATAATATATCTCTCTTCCACTCCCTCTAAATAGGGGTGTATTCCAGACATTGAGTATAAAGAAATTTGAGGGTATAAAATACCTAATTTTCTTCAAAATTTTTGAAAAAAAAACATTTTGTTTTCATGATAAGCTGAATTCTAAAAGCTTTTCAAGTGTATTTTCATAAAAAACAAAAACTTGCACCTTTATTATTTTTTAAAATGTAAAATGGATATCATAATCAATTTATAATTATCTATTAGGGTTTGATCAAAATATAAAAAATCCTTCATTAATCAATTTGTTTACTTTATGATTAAAGTGTTAGGATTTAGCTGTAGACTTTAATACTTAGAGGAATAAAATTACAATGTCGAGTATACTATTAGATATTAAAGATATAATAATAATAATAATAATAATAATAATAATAATAAATGTGATGCTAAAATTTAGAAATTTGAAGTAGTTATGATTTAACGTAATAAGATCTTTTACAAAGGGATATTTGCCTTAAACTTTAGAAAAGATTAATAAACAGAAACGTGATCTAGAAAAACAATCAAACAACAATGTAACTTATCTTATGCCATAACTCACTGTTGGGTTATTCCCAAATTCAATTCTTTTTTTTCCAAAAAAAATAAAAAGAAGAAATCCAAAATAATGTCATTTTAAACAACATTATTCTTCTTCTTCTTCTTCCCTTGGACATGCAACAGGGAAAGAGAAGCTTTTTTTTTTAAAAAAAAACTGATTTTCCTGCATTTTCTCTCTCTCTCTGCTGCTGCTCAACTTGACCAAATCCTGGCATAACCCATACCTCCCTTACCTTGCCACCATAATGAAACAGGATGGCAAGCCATGCCCCGACCACCTTTCCCTGCACTTGGGTAGGGCAAGGTGACCCTTTCCTTTTGCCTTCTATAATTACAGGAGGAGAACAAGAGAACAGGGGGGCAAAGGAGAAAACCGAGGACAAGAAACAAAGGGTTTTTAAAAGAGAAAGAGATTTAAAAAAACAAAAATAGAGAGGAGATTTTGGAGAAGTGAAAATAGAGAGGGGTGGTGGAGATTTTAGAGAGGAGAGTTAAAAAACAAAAGGGAACGATTTGTTTTAAAATAGAGGACGAAACTAGAGAGGAAGAGAAATAAAGACCAAAGAGAGAGAACAAGGGAAGAGTAAACAAAAACAGATGAAAGGGAGGAAAAAAAGAGAGAGAGATTGGTGTCTCTGCATAGAGAGGAAGAAGAATCGTTCCTCTTCGCGAACCATCACCTACCGCCACAACGCTGCCACTGGTAGCACCGTCACTGCTGGAGAATAAAAGGAGAACAAAAAATAGAGGGAAGGAAAAAGAAAACAGAAGAAAGGCGGAAGGAAAATACAGAGAAAAAGGAAGAATAACTAGCAGCGTCCTCTGTAAATCATCGCTAGTCCTCTTCGCCCATTGCCACCGTGAACCACTGCTCAGTCAGCCGTTCCTCTCCCTTCCTCCTATTGTTCTTCTTCAATATTGTTCTCCACTGCTCACATTACATGTGAATAGTGGATAGTTCTCCAGCGTTCTCTGGGTCGGGTAGCACCGGCCCAGACCAAAATGGGTGGGTTGGGTCCAGCCCATTCCAAAAAAAAACTCCAAAAAATTCTTTTAAATTTTTTTGATTTTCCCATGTGTTTTTCTATCAATTTTGCTTAAGTTTGGTTTGTATTTTTATATTATAAAGACACAAATTCAGTGTTAAAATACCTGGTTTTCATCAAAATATTGCAAAAAATTATAAAATGAAAAAAATGTTTTTGTCTTCATGCATATCACCAAGTATATCAAAGACAAAAAACTCGTCGTATTTTCCCACAACAAAAGAAGCAAAAATATGTTTTAGCATCTATTTTGGCTTTTATAACAAGTTTATTAAAGCCAAGAGAACAAGATTAATATTTCAAAAATACCAAAAAAATACTATGTTTTCTTTTAATATCTAAGATTATGAATTTACATGTAAAATGTATTCCTGATATTGAAAAGGTAGTTTTTTTATAGATATTAGAACGGTTAACTTTTTACTTGATAAGATATAAATTTCCTTACCAAGGTATACTTTTCTTAAATCTAAGATAAACTAATAATTAGACAACATGACACTACCTTAGCTTTTATCAGACAATCAAACAATGCAGTTTACCTTAGGTAAAACATATTTAAGGTGCTAATGCTTTTTTTTTATTCAATCAGTCCTCGTATTCGATTTCTGAGACCGGTTAGGGTTTCTAGTGATTATAATATTAGGTAGCGACTCTTATTTTCTCATTCCACATATAAAAGACAAGAAATCCTTGTCTTCCCCATTTCCTGATTACTTCAAACTAAAAAAGTGGAAGATCGCCGCGATATTGTACTTGTGCAACATCTTAGATAGGATATACTAGAGGTGATGCGTTTTTTTTTTGTACAACCAGTCTCTTACTCCAATTCTTACATATCATAAATTTTTAGTAACCATGGCATTAGATGGTGATTCCTGTACTTATAACTATAATTTTATGATTATCCTGAACTCTTTTCAGTACTCTTAGGAGGTAGACCTGCTGTTCTCGCGGACAAGCTTAAATAATAAATTGCTTATTGCTTGATGCTAGAGGTCATGAACCAACAAATTTCATGAATAACCTGATCTCTGGAAGCCTAAACGAGTCTAAATCTAACGCACCATTTTCTTGTAGTCTTGAAAAGAGAGAACAATGGTTGCATGAACGAAATCTGCATGCAGTATCCACTCTTGTATCACTGAGGGGTAAAACTTTGCATTATTATATTGCTGTTATATTTGATAATTTTATTTGTAATTTTGGACTAAAAACTAGCTGTTTAGTCTGGGAGTCATTGGTAAAATTGTACATAATTTACAGATATGTTATCTCTTGGGACATGGCTCCACATTCAAGAAGCATTTACATAATGTTTGAATTTACAAGATCAGTCAAGAGTTGCTTCCTCTATTTATTTCAAAAATTTCTCTGACATACTTTACTAAACATTGACAATATCCTCTGCTAGTGCTTGAAATTATCTCTTTTTTGCTTCATCTTTCAACTATTGCAGAACTTGAAAAGACCGTTTCGACCTCTGAAGGGACTTGACATGGATAAAGTCATCTCAAAGATAATCGACAGGGTCGAAAGCTCAACCAATGCATCTGATTGAATTTGATTGGAGTCTAAAGAGTGTTTCTGTGGGGTTTAATCAAAAGCTGACCTAGTTAATTTGCTTCAATGGTTCAAACCTTAGTACTGATCATAGCTGTTGATTTTGCATTTCCAAATTTTTCTGTTCTGATTCTGGTTAGGAGCCTTACAGTCATTTTGGATTATTCTTACAAGTTCATATGACGAGCCAACATGGAAGGGCGAATTCATGTTACTGTAGTTCTTCCATGTTTTAACACAGCCATTGAATTAGGGAAAGTTGTGGTGCGCTTATAAATCAAACCCTTCATGTTCTTTGTTTCAATGTTTAATCTTGTCTTGATTATTGAGCTTGATTTTACATTTTCTCTTATTAATTTGATTTGATTTGATTTTCTTATTCTCATTTGAGTATTCATATTTCCTAATTTGATTGTTACCATTAAAATACTAGTCCAGATCTTTTCTTCTCTCTCAAATTGCAGCCAAATCTTGGCAGCATGAAAGAAAGTGAACAAAACTGGGATTATGCATGATGAAAAATCAAGGGATGTTGATAAATCATATAAAACATACCGTGGAAAAATTTCAATTTGCAATCTATCAGTAAATATCAAATTATTCAAATTATGTTTGCCCCCGATTAGGGTTCAAGCTTCATTTCGAACAGTGATCAGGGGTGGATACAATCAAAGGAAATACAAAAAAAATAAATAAAAACAATAAATTGATTCTTGTGCTAGCCTCGTACTATCCAGTTCCCATTCACTCCATTTTTTTACCCGGTATTTGTTCTGCCTTGTTCTATTGCTTGCCTTTTAAAAACCCATTATGCAGGCAAACAATCCGATAACCACGGTTGCACCAGCAACATGCATACGTGAAGAAGCAGCTTTTGCAGGTGCAACAGCTGGTGCTTCCTCAGCCACTTCTGTATCAGCCTCTGGGGAGTCTGCGGGTACATCAGCCACTGGCCCATCAGCAGCCACTGGCCCCTCGGCTGGTGCTTCAGTTGGTGTAGATGGTCCCTCCTTGGATGGTGCAGGAGCCTTGGAAGGAGACTTGGTGGGGGATTTGGCTGGAGTCTTGGCAGTTGGAGGTGCAGCTGGTGGAGTTTTAGTGCTTGGAGCTGGAGCAGGTGCCTTCTTGGGAACGGCAGCAGTACCAGGTGGTGGTGGTGGAGCCATGTTCTCAATCCCTGGAGTCTCAATAGGTTCGCTGACTTGTAGCACCGAGATGTTGTAAGGCTGCGAGTAGATGGATTTCACAAGTGATGCAACGAGAGGAGCACCTTTCATTGCTGAACCGAATTTGATTCCCTCAGCAGTTCTGCTGATATTCAGGAAACCTTGTCGATTATCTGCAACACCACTAGCTTGGTACAATGTGGTAACGATAGTGCTGGCCTTTTGAAGTTTCGAAAGCTTTATTTGATCATAGTAATCAAGGATTACATGTGCACTCAAGATCTTCTTTGCAATGTCTAAGGGTCTGCCAGAGAGTCCATCGATCGATCCGTTATCAAGCACAAGGACAGTGATGGTTTGGCGTCTGTTCATTTCCTGGGCAAGCCCGCTCTGGCTGAGGAGATCATTAAAGTTTGCAAACTCAGGGTATTGTGCAAGGATCTTGGTGATGTTGAAGGCTGAGGAAGTTGAGATTAAGCACAAGAATGCAATGACGAGGAGAGAAGAAGCCTTGGAATCCATCTTTGCCAAAAAGATGAAGCCAAAGCCTTCCTTATTAATTATTATCACTTTCCTTGTGTCTGAATTCAAAGCTGATAATGCAGAGACCTTTATATGCATGTAGAGATGTTGACCAGAAATGAGTGGCCGGGCTATTCATGGTCGAGAATGAATTTCTCAATCTACAGATCAGGATGTGAGGTCTTGTTATGTAGGGGATGAACAAAAGAGTGGATAACTTTCTGTAGTTTGACAATGTCTTAAGCCAGCAATGGCAATGACAATATTGGTTTGATCATACTTGAATTTCTATCCTAATTAAGGAGTTGAACAGAAGAGGAGCAAATTGTGGAACAGACATGGAAAGTAGCAAAATTTAGGTCTAATAGGCAAAGAAGACATCCATCTTTTAAAACGCTTCCAATATTCCCTTGAGCTAGATTTCTTCACGTACTTAATTCCTACAGATTCAATTTATACCTCATCATCTGATAGCCTTTAACTTCAGTCCTAATCCCTTATTCTTGCTTTACATGACTAATTATTATGTTCTCTACTTTAATGCATTGATTGTGGCCCTTCTCTAGAATTCTTCAATTGTGTCTTTGCATGGGCAATTAATAAGTAAATGGGTCACTATAAAAGGAAAAAAGAAGGTAAGGGCCTATACATATTGTTTTCCGCAAGATTACTTTCCTTAATTAAGTCATTAAGTTAATGATAAAGACATGGGCGGTCGGGTATATATACCTCAAAGGACCAATCAATCTGTGCAAGACATTTATGTCAGAACAAAATGGTAGCATGTAATTAGGTACATATCCCTTCAAGTGAGTCTCCAAACTCTCCTTTTGATCAATATTCTGTATGCTTAGATCATAGCTGCACAAATCAAATCTCATCAATATTTTTAAGACCCGGCAGGTTTACTCAATAACTTGTTAGTTTAGAGCTTGGCCCACAACATAATTTTTTCTCAAATCAAGGTGGATATTAATTTGATCAACTCTGGATAAGTTAATAAATTAACTTGTAATCTAGTTTATATAAACAAATTAACTCGATGTTTGAGACACATCAAGTATACTTTAATGATTTTATAATTAATTTTTGTTCAAAATAATATTGTTTTAGAATTGATTAAACAATCCTATATCTTGGATTTTGAGCGGGTTGGATCATGACCGCGAACCGAATCTGATAATCACAATTACACGACTATTAAATCATGAAACTTTTTATAAAAAGAGAGAAGAATGAAAGCTAGATGAGCAAAAGACTCTTGGAGACATTTCTATTAGTCACCACGAATCTAAATTTGATGTCTCTTGTACAATTTCAGCATATGAGAACATGCTGGAGTTATCCCAGCTATAATATAAGATGATTAGATTCTCGTGATTGGTATTGCATATGACAACTAAATAATATGGTATATGTTGGGAAAACTAGGAATAATCGGAGTTTATAATTGTTTTTTTTCAAATTCAACTAAGGGATACAACATATATATAATAAAGAACAACTTATTCTTGAAATACAACAAGATTAAAGGAGAATTATTTGAAAAAAACTCACAAATATTGACAGTCCTGTTTTCTGTCAAAATGATCAACTTCCACACCACCAAGCTTCAATCCAACCGTTCATAATGAAAAGTAACGTGTGTAGAAGCTTCTGTCAAAATATCAACCCGATTCAATGGTGAACGAGTTGGAAATAGAAGTAAGAACACAGGTTGCTCTGCTACCTTTTCTTTTTTTTTTCTCCCGGTTTTCTTCTTCTCTCTTGTTCAATTTTGCTACTATGTCTACAGTACCCGAACCATTTTAATTTAAAGAGGGTAAGCTGCCTCTCTTTTTAATTAATATGGTAGTCCCACTATCACATGGTACGAAACCACACATAACAACATGCAACACTATACAAACAATTTTCATAAAGATTATGTGCTATTTCCCTAATGTTTTAAAAATAGAAAAAAACTACATTGACATTAAACAATCTATGCATTAATTATAATTGAGAAAATACATGAAGCAAAATCTACAGATCAAACTAGAAACAATTTGCTCAAAAACATAACAGCTTTCGATCAAATTGTTAGGGTTTGAAGATCAACATGACATATAAAAGGTGATGTATACTCTTTAGCTTTGTTTTGATTCTCATTGGGATTTGGATAAAGGCAAAGCCTATTGATAAGGTTCATGGAAGTGGTGAAATTGTCCCACCCATCCAACCAAAGCCCCTTTGTAGCTAGAAAATAAGGATTAAAAGGAGGCTGAAATATGATAAGATAAAAAAGAAATAGGAAAATCTTTGATGATCGGTTTCTGCTGTCCTCCAAGATTCTAGCAAAGGCACAAGCAGACAAATAAATGATTGAGATCCTACTTGGATATGGGAAGATGATGCATCTTACTGACAACTAAGCTCCTTCCTTTACAAATTATTCCTTGTCCCTTATCCCCTATCAGCTTTTTTATTTTTTGCTGGGTTTGCAGCCTACAAGACTTCCAGGGGTCAATCATACGTATATTAGTAGTGTTTAGATAAATGTGCGTTGATCATCTGGTGACTCATCCAACTAATATCTTGTCCAGGTTTCATGATAAATTACAATAAATTGAATAAGAGTTGATACAATTAAATATGATTGATATAATAAGTTAACTCTTGATTTAATGAATTTTATTAAACTTAGATGAAACCCGGTTTAATTTTCACAAATTTTTTTAAAAATAATATTATTTTTTAAATATATTATCTTAATTTAACTCGGGGTAATCCTCTTGCTTGGAATGTGTTTTATAACTATAATTTAGACTACTTTTAAGTTATTTTTCATATGATACTAAGTCCTTTTCTATGTCAATTTTAAACAAACCATCCATATATGGGTCCTTAGACACGCAATATGGAATTATAGACGTATGATGATTCTCTCATACTCTTTTGCTTCCTGGAGTGCTTGTTTGAAGTATAACAGCTGTGCTTGGAAGCATCTAAAACCATAAAGTCATCTGTGGTGCTACAATATTGTTGAGAGTCTATCCAGATTTTTATGAAAAATGGTATCCAGATTTTTATGAGAAATGGAATCCCCATTTCTCCCTCCTTTTCTTCTGAAGTTGACATCTCTTTATCTATGCCTAAAGAGGAACAAGAGCAGCAAAGATAGACCTTCTTGTCGAGGGTTTGGATTGTTAAAGGCTTGCAAAAAGTTTCAATAACATCACAATGGAATCGCTGTTCAACTTTATGGTTTTATAAAGTTTGAGATCGAGTTCAGGACCACAGTATCCCCTGTACGCTTACTCAAGGCTTCATGAAAACACAGTCCAAGGCTGCAATATTGTTTGCCATCCTCTTTTCTTTTATTTTTTTCTTCCTTCGTTTAATAGCTAGTGACTGATGATCATGCGAAAAGCCAGTACATAGATTGATCAATTTTTGCAATTTTCTTTAAAATTTCCGCTATATTGTCAATTACTTATTTAACTTGAAAATTTAAATGGTTAAGCAATCTGCTAAAATAGTTTAGTGAACATGCACACCAGCGGCTCCATCCTATTTAGTACACATAGAAAATGGATTGTAAGATTAATTTAAATAAAATATATCGTTAATTAATTTGTTGTTGCTTATAAATATATTTAACTTGCAACCTTTTTTTTCTTTATAGGTTACGTCTCTTGTATGTGAGCCAAGCCCAATTGAGCTGTTTGTAGAGTCAAGACCATCAAAAGGAGGTGCAACAGTTTATAAACAACCGTGCTCAATACTTCATGGTATGTTCGTTCAATCATTTTATTTCATAAGTTATTATTTTCTTGAATTGAATAAAATGATTTTTTTTTTAATTCTTAGGAGATCTATAATAGCTGATTGAGGGAAAGATATGGGGACGATCTTTTGATCCATCCGGATTTTGATTTGGATTTATGGATGGAGGTAGGATCGTTTGGCGGACCCAATAAAAATCGAGTTTGTAGACTATCCAACACTACTATTGAAAACTTGCGAGCGACTTGTAGTATCTCAATCATTGGGAGCTCTTTATTAGTATCGATCACCCAGTCTAAGGAGTTCGCGGCCTTGAAACAACAATATGAATGACTCTTGATGGATTACGATCAATTTCGTCAAATGATCATGAATATTAGATCAAGGATGGGTGTGATGATACATATGCAGCTCTTTTTTAGCTATACAGTCTCGGAAACAACCAGCTTCCTCCCCCTCCCCCTCCAATTCCACTGTTATTCTAGTTTAATTTGGTTTTTAAAATACTTAAATTTGTAATGAATATTATTTAACATTATTTTTATATTTTTAATGTTTAATATAATTTTATTTGATTAAGTAGTTTTTTTATTATTAATCAATATAATATTTGAAAAAAATATTTATTCTAAATAATTTTTAAAAAATATTTTTAAATAAATACCAACGACCTTACAGATGGAACAAAGTCGTTGGTATTTTACCGAGAATTGCAAAAAAATTACTGCCTATGCCATAATCACCGACAACATTATTCTATCGGTTTTTATCGTTGATATTACCGATGGATAGCTTCTGTTGATATTTTATAGAGAGTTCTGAAATATTTTTTGTCCATGCCACAATCACCGATAGACTA